TGGGCAAGGGAGAGCAGAGGGCCTGGGAGAGCAGGGGGAGCCAGCACAGTGCCCACTGCTCTGCCAGGGCCACCTCTGTGCCCCGCTGCCCATCCTGCCACTCGCTGCACTGCTGCCGCACCAGGACCTTGTAGACCTCGGCAGCGGCGGGACACAGGTGGTTGGTGGAGAGGCAGCTCAGGAGATGCTGTGGCAGGTCCGGGTAGGCATCCAGCACCTGGGAGAAAGGCAGGTGACCCTCATCTCCCTGTTGGGCTGAAAGCTGCACTTGGGGGAAAGACAGATGGGTACAGGCCACACTGCAGTCACCCCTGGCACTGAGCATCTCCTCAAAGCTGCTTTTGGGGAGCTTTTGGTGGGCACTGACAGGCAAAGCTTCCCTTCCCGCTGGCACTCCCCAGGGATGCACTGCTGTAGCTCACTACCCCAAGGATGCTAAAATAGCCTCTCTGGGTGGGAAGGCTCCCTGCCCACACAGCTGAGCTTGGTAGAAGGTGACAGGCAGAGGACAGAGGCTGTGCCACCTCAGCAGCAGAGCCATCTGACACCAGGACTGCCCATACCCCTGCCTTCCCTACCTGCTGGCTGCCCATGTAGGGGACGATGGCACACAGGGGCATGTATCTTGCTTTGATCTGCCAAGGCATTGAGACCACCCTCTGCAGCGTCTGTTGGTAGAGGGGTCTCTCCTGGTCCTGGAAGTGCTGGCACTCCAGATGGTAGATCTCCAGGAGTAACCGGAAGGAGCTGTGGATGAACTCAGACACACCTTCCACCTGTGGGAGAAGGACCACAAACAGGGGGTTGGGTGGGCTCCCTCTCATGTCTTGCTGTCCTGTGGCAGGTGAAGCACCGGGACATGGCCCTTTAGAGCCTGTGTGTGACAAATGCCAGGACCTCAGCAGTGTGACTGCCCTGCTCTGGCAGCTGCAATCAAGGGAGTCTATTTGGCTAATGGAGCTGAAGCAGGCAGGGATGTGTTATGGGCTGGGAACAGCAGCTGAGCCAGGTGAAGGAAGAGCTTTCCTGGCTGCCACACTTGGTGCCCTTTGGCACTGTGTCCTTACCGGGGTCTCTGCATTGTTCCACAGCAGCTGGGTGACCTCCTGGAGGAGCTCAGTGTCCTGGGCCAGGATACGGGTCCCCGTCAGGTGCCAGAGAGCAGCAAGGCCCTCCTGCAGGCGCTGCAACCACAGTGCACAGGCTGCCAAAACAGAGCTCTGCTGCAGCCCTCACCCCACACCCACCTGCACCAGAGCCTGCACAGGCTGTGGCCTTGAGGACCTTGTGTGCAGGGGCAGCAGCACCCCCGTTAGGCACACAAGACCCCAAGAGGGTAAGTGTCCATTGGGCTGGAACAGAAATTAATAGCAGTTTCCAAACCAGCCACCAAGACCCAGAAAAGCATCTTCCCTGGGAGAAGATGAAGCACATGGGGACTCTATGCATCACGAGCACAGTGAACCTTTCAAACCTCCCTGCCACGGCCGAGTCACGTCTCCTACCTTGGAAGCAGTAGTAGTGGCAGTCCTTCTGCTCCCTGGTCAGGGCACACACAGCAGGAAAGACCATGTCCAGCAGCAGGCAGGCCTGCAGGGGCACAGCAGCTCAGGGAGAGGGCAGGCACAGAATTTCCAGGAAGAAAACCCTGCCGTGAGACAGGCAAGGAGAGTGCTGCCTGCTTCTCCTGCTCTTACAGAGCACACCTCTGCTCCCTGCAAGAAGTCCTCAGCTCATGAGGACTTGGGAGAGACTAGAGCTGGGCAGAGATGGGGCTGTGCTCTGCAGGGACAGCCCCAAGTTCATGCCATGGGAACACAGGGTGAACACTGCTTTGCTTGTGCAGGGGCTTTTGGCAGCACTTTGTTTCCCAGCCCCCCAGGAAAGAGAAATCCCTGCTGGGATGTCTTTGGAAAAAGCTCTTTGGCTAACTGGCTGTGCTCAGCAGGATGCATGGAGCTGCTGGTGTAGAGGGGTGCAGCCTGGCCTCATCCCCCAAGGACCAGCAGGCACCACAGGCATCTGCCAGCCCTCTCCAAGAGCTCCCTCAAGCCCTGTCCACCAGGTTTGAGCTCTCCTACCTTGTTGGGGAGGCCCTCCAGCTGGCAGCTGAGGATGTCCATCTTGCAGCACGTCAGCAAACCTCTGGTAAGCACCAGCTTCTCCAGCCCATCTGGTTCCAGGACACGGGGCACTACCACCACCAGCTCCCCAAATTTCAGCTCCCCAGTGCCTGCTGGAAAATGGCTGCACTGGATGGAAGGAAGGTGGCAAACCCAAATGCTGCTCTGAGACCAACTGCCATGGCTCATTCCAGAACATCCATGGGAGGTGGCTGGAGACAGCTGGAGCTCCCAGACACCAAGAGACAGGCACAGCAGCAGAGTCCAGCTTGGCACCAGCCTCTGTCTCCTCACACCCAAATACGCCTGACACCCTTTGCCAGAGGCCTTCCTCAGCTCAGGATGGAGCACGCACCTTGGCTGGGGAGCTGGAACAGGGTCAGCACAGCACTGGCCCCGTCCTGGGGCTGGGGGGCCGTGTTCACCAACATGCTCAGGGCTGTGCCTGCCAGCAGCCTCGTGTCCTTGTTCAGGGCCTGGACTCGCAGGGAGGCAAAGGCACAATTCAAAACACCATTTAAACCCCAACAACTTTTAAATGCACCTGCAAACAGCTACATGGGGGTCTCTCAGACAGGCCAGACACTCTGCAGGCTTGCCTTGGGGAGGGGAATGGGGAAAGCACCCGGGAAGAACAGCACTGCTCTGCTCCTTGGGACAGGCAGCTCCATCCCTCCCAGGGCTGTACTCACCTTCCCCCACGCCACCTCCAGCAGCAGTCCCAAGAGGCTCTGCAGGGTCTCACTCTTTCCTGATGTGCTCCACACCAGGGGGGCCACATCCTCTGGCAGCACCTGGAAAACCTGGAGGCAGGCCTGGAGGAGCAGGAGGTGCCACAGGGATGATCAGTATTCCTTACCTCTGAAAAAGCAGCAATGCCCCAGGAACGGCCATTCAAAGCAGTTACATCCCTCTGCACATTGCTGCCGGTGCCCAGCCTGTCCTTGCAGGTACTGATCCTTCCCCCACTGCCCAGTCTGGCTCCTACCTTGATGGCCAGGTAGCCCCACGTGCTGCCAGGTGTGGGCTGGCCCTGCAGCACCCAGTGCAGGGTGCTGGCCAGGCGCTGCAGCAGCAGGGCCAGGTTCTGGCGCCAGTGCTGCCGGCCCAGGCTGCTCTCCTCCAGGAACATGGACACTGCGGGCAAGGGGACAGCATCAGCCCCAGCCCTCCTGCTCCCAGTCCAGCCAAGGGCACTGGTAAGTAAGGTATGAATGGGGCTGGGATGCAGGGAATGCTTTGGCTTGTGTGGTTTCCAGCTGTGGGTGGGCAGAGCTGGATGCTGCTGGGACCTCTGCAGAGATCACACGGATCTGGCTGATCCCCGCTCCCCTCCCATGAGCACAGAGTACCCAGTTTGGGTTGGCAGGAAATGTTCTGTGCACTCATGGTGTGAGCTTGGAGGAAATCCCAGAAGGTAAGGAACAGAGGCTGACCTGACTGAAGGTCCTCAGGAGACAGCACCTGCAGGGACAGAAGGGTAGTTTGTCCTGTGTGACAACATGCTGATGCTCAGTACCTTGGGCAGGAGAGTTCTGCCAGTGCCAGAGGCTGCCCCAGGGATGAGCAAAGGGCTAGTGTGAAAGGCCAGCCCTTGAAACATGTGAACATATGAAAATGTTGACAAAATATGAAAATGAACATGTGAAAAGCCACATGTTGCCAGCTGCAAGCAAGGGCAAATCCCCAGAACCATAGGAAGTGAAGAGAAGGACTGGAGGCAGCCCAAACCATGAGGTGCCTGTGATACATGGTCACCAGACAAGTCCCCATGAAAGCCAGTGACACTGCACAGCCGGGGTTCTCTCACCTCTCCCTGCAGTGCCAAGCCAGCCAGCAGTGTGTCCACCTCCTGGGCCAACAGGGCTTCCTTCCCCACTGCCAGTTGGGTCACCATCTGCCAAGAGACACCCAAGTCAGCTGCTCTGCCCAGACCCCTGGGAGACACCAGCTGTCAGGTGCTACTGGGGGAGCCTGCACCACCTCTGAGCCCCTTTGCTGGTAAAGATGCTGGAAAACTCCAGAGCTGTGCCAGGAGTGGGCAAATTGCCTTACAGACCTGTTCCAGTTTCTGGAAGGAGCTGCAGCTGCTGGTTGCCTCCATCTGGAACGCCAGGACACAGCGGAGCAGGGGTCGTGCCTCTGCCTCCCCCAGCGCCTGCAGACCCTCGCTCAGCACCCGTGTCAGCTGGAGAGCCTCCTCCAGGTGCTTCTCTTTGCATCTCTTGGCAGTACTCCTGGAGCAGGACAAGGATAGGGGTGAGGATACCTTGGCCCGGTGAAGTTTGTAGCGGGGGAATACCCCGACTCAGTGGGATCTGGGACTGGGGTGCCCCAGCGCGGTGCTCCTCTCTGCCAGCCGCACTCAGCACTTCGCTGGAGGACGGAGGGACGGCGCGGGGGAGGGGAGCTACACGAAATCCTCAAAGCTCAGCGCATTACAAACCCTTGGTGGGCAGAAGGGCACGAAAACCCTCAACGCTGCAGCCCTGGGAGGGAATGTGGGGCACGCGAGCGGGGCTCGAACCCCTCGCTGGGTATCGATCTCCACACGCTCCCTCCCTTCTGCCCTCCCGACCCGCGGGACGCACGGCCGCTACACACCGGGGGCGTCCCGATGCAGCCGCCGCCGGGCACACCGGGAGCTGCCTGCCCGGGGCCGCGCTCTTACCCCGCGAAGTGCCGCAGGCAGCGCAGGCAGGAGAGCACGGCGGGGGCGAGGCCCCGAGTGCCGTAGAAGGCGGCGCAGGCCCGCGCCTCCCGCTCGGCGCCCATGGCGGCCGCGCCTCACCCGGGCCCGCTGCGGCGCTCGGCGGCGCCCCCTGGCGCTGGCCCGTAACAGCACCGCCCGCGGCGCCGCCGGGACCCGCGGTGCGTCCGTCCTTCCTTCCCTCACCCGGCCGGGACCCGCTGTGCGTCCGTCCTTCCTTCCCTCACCCGGCCGAGACCCGCGGTGCGTCCGTCCTTCTTCCCTCACCCGGCCGGGACCCGCGGTGCGTCCGTCCTTCTTCCCTCACCCGGCCGGGACCCGCGGTGCGTCCGTCCTTCTTCCCTCACCCGGCCGGGACCCGCGGTGCGTCCGTCCTTCCTTCCCTCACCCGCCTGGGACCCGCTGTGCGTCTGTCCCTCCTTCCCTCACCCGCCCGGGACCCGCGAGTTAAAAAGCGTCATCGTCTCGAGCTGTTTCCGTAGTGGGGGAAAAGGGGGATAACCCAGAACTTCCGTGTGCTGCCTGCCGAGCACAGAGGGATTTGGATAGCATGAGGCGGTGTAAGATCTCTGAAATGCCCACTGGAATGCTTCAGGGTGAAGCATTTGTCTGATTCCATCGTGGTTCCTTGCAGAAGAGGAGGTTTGGTACCCCACGGTCCTGCTCCACCACGGACACCATCTCTGACAGCCAGCACCACTATTGGTAGCATCCCTACTAGAAGTATCACTAATAACACTACTACCCAGTGGAGAGATTACACTTCTTCCTGTGGAATGAAATGGCCTTTGAGGAGAGAGACAGGTTTATTGTAATTATCATCGAATCAAAAGGAGTTTATTAGTGCTCTTAATCTTAGTTGGCACAGGGTTGAACAATTTTAATTGGCACAATTTTAGGATCATCTTTAAAGGCCTCTTTCAATCCAAACCATCCAATGATTTTACGATTTCTGGTTTTTTATTAAACATAGGTTTAACACCTGACTAGCACATCCCATTGAATTTCAGCTACACAGAAAATGCTTCTTGTTTTTGATCTTGAAGGATTATTTTTACCCTGGGTTCTTTCTCACAGTGGTTCCGGATTGAAGTGACGGGCATCTGCTGCTTGGATGATCATGGGCAGCCCAGGAAAACACAGCTGGCATGCACCAGTGGCTCCACTGGGTGGCCAGGAGGGCACTGAGATGTGGATCCCAGGCTGAGCACTTCCCTTGGGGATGGAAAGCCCCCAGACTGTAGTTTTTCCACAACATTTGTCAGCAGCCTCCATCTCTGTTCTGCTTTAGAAATCAGCCTGGAAGCCCAAATCCAGCCAGGGGTCCAGGTTTGCCCTGACTGCTGTCAATATCAATGAGTGAAAGAGTGCAAGATGTGTCCCAGGTAAGGCAGAGGAGTGCAGGAGCATGGTTACATCCCTCAGATCTGATCCTCCTTTTGCTCAGCATCAGAGCCACCCCACTGGTGGTGATAGGGTGATAGGGAGTGGGGAGAAGCACTGCCAAATGAGAGCTCCCACAAGTGCCAGCACACAGGCAGGGGCAGGGCAGAGGAGGGTGCTGCCATGCTGTAGGGTTTCCAGTGTTCCTATCACCTTGTGCTGCCTGCAGAAGGGAGGGGCAGAGGAGGGAAAGGGGGATTTTTTCTTGTTTCACCATAGGAAGGATTTTCAAACCCTATAAATTCACTTTTGACAAGTGAACAGCTAAAGCAGATTAACCTTTTTGCTAATCCTCTATAATGGCTTTGGAATCTCCTTAACCAATAAGAAAATTATAAGAACCTGTTTCTTTTCTTTTTATCTATATCTATATTGTCCTCTCTTGTCTGCATGTTTTTTCTTTCTTGTTTTATTTTCCTTTCCTTTTCTAATATGAAATAGCCCAGCGATCCTATCTCCCAGAGGCTCAGTAAACAGTACATCAGAAATCCCTTTCCTTTATTCCTCTCTGGTAACAGGGTGCAGAGAAGTGTCTGCCGATTGGGATTTGATTACCAGCAGCTATCAAAAGTCTCTTTGTACAATCTGGGTCCTAAATCCCATAATTCTTTGATAAAAGAAGTATTACCAGTCCATTTTCTGTAGTGAAAGGTATGGGAGGAATGAAAGAAAGCAATCAGTGGAGATCCTAATAGGCTAAGTGCATGTGTGGTGGGAAGGCAGGGGTGGGACAGGATGCCCAGGGAAAGGCATCCTTTGTTAAGGATGAGGAAGGAGAATTAATCCTCTTCAGGCACATGAACAGAGCTGGTCAGATCCTGCACCTGCCCTATGGCCCCTCTGGACCAGCACAGGGTGGGGAGCAGAACCTGGCCCCACATCCACCCCTTGTGTCAGAGTTTGGGTACATGCATAAAAGCTGGGAGCAGTTTTCAGTGATCTCTGGAATTAGGGCATCCCCAGTGCCTCTCTGGAGCACTGACACCTCCCCCTGTGGATTGCAGCTGCCAGACCTTGCTGTTTGCCCAGGGGAGGGGGCAAAGCCAGGCCTCCCTTCCTGTCCTGAATTTTGGCCATGGCCTCTCCCCAGTTTCTTTGGCTGGGCAGGAACCAGGAATTGAACAGGCTTTGGGAAAGCCTGGCTGTGGCACTGAATCCACACTCCTGCCTGGACGGCTGTGGGACCTCACTGAGAGCACACAGAGGCAGCAGCAGCAACAATCCCCCCCTTCCCTTCCCCACACAGAGCATGGCTCAGCTGCATGGGAGGTGGGTACATGCCGCTAAGCTGCTGTGCAGAGCTGCTGCAAGCAGCTCGTAATCTAATTTATTAAGGTCTTTGAATCCTTACAAAGAGTATGTTGGATACATGCAAAGCATCTGCATTATTACAGTGATTAGGGCAGCAGAGATGGGGGAAACGGGAAGGAGTGAAAATACAATTTCTCTGCTTTCAGCAGAAAATGAATCAACTTTCACAGAGAATTCTGGCAAAGCCAAAGGCTGTGCTGTCATTAAAAATGATTTTTTATTAAGCTGAACTCTCTCTTCTCTCATATTGTATGATATGACAGCTCTCTTTTGATGGGAAAGCTTTCATTTGACCAGAGAAAGGGATAATTTGCTTCTTTTAAGGAGTTAATCCTCTGGTCCATTTCCGGGCTGGGAACAGCTATCCTCCCCCTTCCTTGGATAGGAGGCTGCTGCACAATGGAGATCATAACCACCTCAAATCTACACCCGAGATGGAGAAATCAGATTTCCTTCTCCAGTCATTTTTATGGGATTAGCTAAATCTTAGATCCACACTAACCCTTCACAAAGCTGCCAAGATTAGTTAGAATTTATTTTATTTGCAGGGGGGTTTACGGTTTTCTTTCCAAAGGGATTATATCTCTCTATACATATATATATTTAGAGTGGCTTCAGTCATAACACAGCTAGGTCAGAGGGAGGAAAAGAGTGTGTGTGTATAAAATAAAAACTCAGCTGCAAGCATGACAGCCACTTGAAACGCCAAGACAGAGCTGTGGTTCTGGATGGCTTTGCCAGTCCATTTTAAAAGCCACATGAGCTGTCCTTTCCCTAGCAAAACCCCACTAGGGAGCCAGTGAAGGGAGAGCACAGCCCCCAGCTGGGCTGCCTGCTTCCCCAGCCGTGCTGCTGCTGGCACAGGATGTCTTCAGAGGCAGCACCAGGGGCTGACGCCGGCAGGCGAGGCCTGAAGAAGCCACGTCCGTTCAGCATCGAGGACATCCTCTCCAGCCCCGCGGAGAAGAGCCCCCAGGTCTTGGTGCCGCTGTGCCTACGGAGCATCTTGGACTGCACACCCAAGCGGCTGTGTGAGCTGGAGACCATCCCAGCCAGCTCCCTGCAGGAGGAGGAAGAGGAGGAGGAAGAGGAGGAAGAGCTGGAAGGGGCAGGCTGCAGTTGCTGCTGCTGTTCTCACACGAGTGCCCATTCCCTGCAGGACCTGCCGGCTTGGCTGGGTGAGTGTTTGGTTTGGTTCAGGTGTGGGGCTTGCAGAGGGGCTGGTGCCAGTGCTGTGGGCAGGGGAAAACCTGGGTGTTAAGTGGCAGTATGGCATCTGGCCACGGTGGTCTTGGGCCTGAGGCCCAGCAATCTGAGCTGTTCTCAGCAGGGCTCCTAAGAGTGCTGCTAGCATGTGAAAAGCAGAGGGTGCCGACTATTACTGGATATTTCTGGTTAGTGTGAAACTCTTGAGAGAATGATACTTCTAGGGGTGCAAGCTCTTTGTGGAGAGTGGGGCCCCATGTGCAGAGCTGTGCCTGTGCTTCCTGACAACACCAGCCCTGGGGAACCTCACTTATCCTTTAAGGAAAAGGGTTTTGGCTATGTCAAGCAAAATTACTGTGGAAAATAAAAAGTAGCAAACCCTTAAAAATGCAGTTCAAGAGCATCCTGAAAGTTCAGAATTCCCTTGTGTCAGGGCTGAAACACAGATCTTTGCCGGGCTGTGAGTTTGCAGTTATTTTCTGGAGCTGACCATAGTGCAACTGGTAAGTGAACAAAGAAAACCCAGCCAGTGCTCACCACCTGCATCCTTCTCCATGTCATGCCCCAAACTCTTCTCCCATGTGCATGGTGACCACTCAGCTTGCCACCCACTCCAGGTGACTGGCTGCCTCCTTCCAATCAGTAGCAGGGATGCAACGGGTGCCTGAGCTGCCTTGAGCATGGCGAATGTTTGAGCCCCACACCTCTAACACTGCTGTCCCTGTCCCCTCGCAGATGCCCGCTTCCCCTGGCCCCTGCAGCTCTTCCACCCGGCAGTCAGGGTCTGTAGGAGTTCCCAGGAGAAGCCAAGTGAGGTGCAGACCTTCCAGCAGATCCAGCGCCGCACGCGCCGGCACCGCACCATATTCACCGAGGAGCAGCTGCAGGCGCTGGAGACGCTTTTCCACCAGAACCAGTACCCGGACGTGGTCACCCGCGAGCACCTGGCAAACCGCATTCACCTGAAGGAGGAGCGGGTGGAGGTGAGGTTCTGCCCCTTGCTGAGGGCAGGATTCTGGTGTTCCTGCAGTCCCCAGGAACACAGACTGGTGCTTTGTGCTGTCTTTTTTTGGGGGCCTGCACACCTATGGCCTCATTTTAAAATCCATCTTGTGCATTTGACAAAAGATAGTTTAAGTCTGGCGAGCAATGGATGAATATAAACCATTTCAGCTGGGCTAATTTGTACTGGCATCCAGTCCCACAGACTCACATGATGCCTCTCTCCCAGAATCACCTGTCACACAGCTCTGCTCATCCCCTGCACCCAAGTCTGTATTCCTGACATAAGTGACCTGCGTGACTTCTGAATTTGTCATGGGGGGTCCCAACTCCTTTGTGCTCCTCACATGTACCCGAGCAAGATTGCAGCAGAGGGACTGATTACATTTTATATCAAGCCTTTCTATTACAGTACCTCACAGCCCAGGAGGGCCACTGCCTGTCCCCCTCCCAGTAACACTTGACATGCAAAAGCCCTTTTCTTGTTTTGCACTTTCTAGGTTTGGTTTAAAAATCGTCGGGCGAAGTGGCGGCATCAGAAGAGGGCAACTGCCTCAGCACTGACGCTCCAGCCCAAGCAGCCCCCCAAGGAGAGCTGTTAGCGCTCACAGGCTGCAGAGAACACCAAGGGCACCCACTGCCGTAGCTGACAGGCTCAGGGGGGTAACCGAGGGGGCTAATGCAGCAAAAGGGAACCTCTGTGGTTCACACAGGAGGAGGACGGGTAAAAGCACACACTTTTTGGCACTTTCACATGCCTCTTCCAAACCTAGTTCACGTGGCAAATAACTCAGCAGGCAGGATGTGCAGGGGACAGAGCTGTACCAGTGTTAAATGTGTGTGCTTTAAGAGAAGGAGAAACTCCCCTTCGTGTCTTTACTCTGTGCACGTAGTATTTGTGCTTGTTTTATTGATGTAGATTTGCAAAATATCCTGCAAATGAATGTGTCCTGTTTGCAGCACCTCAGTGGCATCTGGAGTTGCTTTTGGGGTTGAACTTGCTGGACAAGCGATTTGTTTCATAACAAAGAAACACGGGTTTCTCCCCATAGCCTGGGGAGAGGTGATGAACGTGCTGTGCTGAGAGGGTTGGCACAGGCAGCCTTCGCCTTCAGCCCTGCTGCCAGCCAGTCCCTGTCACAACGAGCCGTGTCCGTGTTCCTGGCGGGGCCAAGGAGAAGCCAGGAGCTGGAAAACGGCGAGATCAATAAAAGTGCCCCGCCACCCCGCCCAGCAGCCAGCGGGGGTCCGCTCCGCGGAGGCCGGGGTGTTTCTGAGGAGGTCTGAAAAGACCGTGGGGGCATTGGGGGGGATCCGCCCGGCGCCCATCCCGTGTCTTATCCCGGTTCCCACCCCGTGTGTATCCCGGCTCCCATCCCACCGCAGTCACGCCCGGGACCGGCCGGGTCCTCCGCACCGGCAGGGGGCGCGCGCGGCCCCGCAGCTCCCGGCGCGGAGCTGTGACGGCGCGGAGCTGTGACGGCACGGCCGGGCGCGTTCGCGGCGGCGGAGGAGGAGCGGAGCGGTTCCGACGCCATGGAGGCGATACCGGTGCCCCCGGCCTCTCCCGCCGCTCTGGTGCCGGCTCCCGCCGCGGGCCCCGTCGCCGTGACGGGGAAGGAAGTGGTGTCGCCAGCGGCGCGGCACTCGAAGAAGATCCTGGATGAGGAGGCCTATATCGAGGTAAGGCGGCGGGCCCGGGCCCAAGCCCGGGAGGTTCCGCTCCGCCGGTGCTTGGGCCGAGCGCTTCCAGCGCGGCGGGGCTTGCCTGGGGTCCGCCCGGCACGGCCGGCCCGCGGGCGCTGCCCGCTGCCACCGCGGCTGCGGGTGGAAGTAGCGCCGGGGCCGCCCCTCGGGCTGCCGGGGCCCCTGCGCTCGGCTGTCCGCGCTCTGCCGGGACCCGGGGCCGTCCCTCGGGCTACCGGGGCCCCTGCGCTCGGCTCTCCGCGCTCTGCCGGGACCCGGGGCCGTCCCTCGGGCTACCGGGGCCCCTGCGCTCGGCTCTCCGCGCTCGGCTCTCCGCGCTCGGCTCTCCGCGCTCGGCTCTCCGCGCTCGGCTCTCCGCGCTCGGCTCTCCGCGCTCGGCTCTCCGCGCTCGGCTCTCCGCGCTCTGCCGTCCGCGCTCTGCCGGGGCCCGGGGCCGCCCGTGGCTTTGCGCCGCTGGCCCCGAGCTGAGCCGGCGCTTCAGGTGTCCCAGCGGGGCATTGCAGTTGTCTCTGTCTTTGCAGAGCTTAGAGAAGATCATCCAGCGAGACTTTTTTCCCGATGTGGAGAAGTTGCGGGCACAGAAGGACTATCTGGAGGCTGAGGAAAATGGTGACTTGGAGAAAATGAGACAAATTGCTATCAAGTTTGGCTCTTCATTGAACAAATCGTCGAGGGACACACCTGCACCCTGTAAGAACTGGCTCTGTAGGGCATCAGGGGTGTGTATTTGATATTGCTGCTCTGCTTTATCTAACTTTGTGCAGACAATGCTTACCTAAAAGATTCAAGGTTGATGTTACATGAGAGCTAAGTGTGCCAGTTTGGGCAGTGTCTGGTGGCTCATGCTGAATTTCTCTTTGATGGTGTCTAATAATTCTGTGAGGGAAGGGTTTTGGGAAAAACAGCCATTTAAAAAGTATTCCTCATAGGCATCTTCTGCCAAGTTCCTGCTCTCTAGGGAGTGTTATGTGCTCTCAACTATGAGAAACCCTAAGCTATGTTTTGAATCCTTATTTTAGTTTGTAGTTTTAGGGGTTCTTGTTGCATCTACAGATATTTGAGATTCTCATGTATCAGGGACAGAAGAAGCTTGTGGTTATCAGAGGTTCCCACAGCAGGTATCCAGTGTTCTGTTTTATGTTTTCTTTCACTTCCATTTTAGGTGTTTCCTAAAGCCCAGCCCCTGGCTGAGCTCTTGCAGTGGGGTTTGGGTAAGTGGCTTTCTTGTAGCAAAGGGCATCACCAGGTGGTGTCCCTTGCTCCCGTGCTGCAGGTGCTGGCCCTGGCCTGGGCTCAGTTTGATCTGCTGCTGCTTTTGTTGGCAAAATCAGGGTGTAGGGTGACGACACCCTGGGCTGTGGCTCTCCTAGGAATTTCTCCCAGCAGGAGAAAAATGTCTTAGATGAGGCCAAAATCTTGTTTGGAGGTTGAGACAGAATTCAGTAGAACATTTTGGAGCTCTTTTCACAAGTTTTTAATTTAAGTTTTGTTCTTTTGATATGCCTTCTGTGACTTATTTGGTACTGCATACTTACAGGAAATCCTGTTGTGTGCTCCAGTAACCAGGTGATTTTTTTTTTTTTTTTTTTTTTTAATGGCAGATGTTACCCCAGCCACATTTGAAACCCCAGAAGTGCATCCAGGTGGCCTTCCAGTGGGAAATAAATCTAAGGCTGGCATCAAGACAACAGAGGAAGGTAGGAAAATTGTTTCTCCAGCTGAATTCTTCCAAAATTAAATTGTCTGCCAGCAGCTGGCCACTTGTACATTTCACCTTTAAAATAAATAGCTATAAACATCATGAAAGGGTTTACTGAAAGCTGGTTATATGTGTTCCAAACCTGATTTATTCCTGCACCGCTCTGTGGATCTGTGTCTTTGGCCAAGCTTGATGGCATTCCTGGTGTGTCTGTGGAAGGCTTGCTGCCAGCAGGGTTAGGAGGTAGTTACAGTGCTCCCCTGGAAAGGGAGGCATTAACCTTCCTCAGGCTTCTTCCCTTCTCTTGTTAGGAGAAGCAGAAAAAGATGATAAAGATGCTCTTCCCAGCCTGGACACCTTCTTGGCAAAGCACACGAGTGAGGATAATGCTTCCTTTGAGCAGATCATGGAAGTGGCCAAGGAGAAGGAGAAGGTCAAGCACGCCTGGCTGTACAGCGCGGAGGAGGAGTACACCCGGGTAGGGAATTGCCTCTGCTCTGTCCCTGCTCTTCCAAGGGACACAGCAGGGAAATACCATTTCACTGGCTTTCTGCTAAGGCTCAGTTTCCTGCATCCCATGCCTGCTCTTTTCTTCCCTGTGCAGTCCTACTTTTCCCCCTTCTGTCACACAAGAACAGTGCTGACTTAGTTACTGAGGCTTAGTCTCTGAAAGCTTTGAGGCTGCAAAGCACTGCACAGAGTGCAAGTATTGCTGTCCTTGGCAGCCTGTTCTGTCAGCAGCAACACAGTTCCTGCTGTTTGTCCATCAGCCCCTTATTATTTGCAGTTTGCCTGTCTTATTTCAGTTTTCAGCTTCTGTTATCAGTAATAATCCACCCAGCTGCTGAAGCACAGAACTGCATGAGCACGGCTGGCTGTGCTGCCTTCCTCAGCTGCCTGCAGGGGAGGTCCAAGTGCTGTTCTGGGCCTGCTTTGTCAGTCTTTAACCATCAGCAGTGAGCAGCTGGCACATTGATGGCTGTGGGATGCAGTGCCTTTTCATGAAGTTTGGCACTGACATGTGGGTGTTTGCTGCTGTTGTTTTGAGGGAGTGTTATTTTTTTTTATCCCAACTGTCCCTCAGACTGTTACATACCTTATACAAGGTGTTCTAGGGCAGGTGGCTGAGCTTTTGACTGAGCTCTCCAAGTTGTGTCTGCCTGAATAAAAGATTGCAGGAGGCTGCTTCAGAATTTTTTTTTCCACCTTTTAAAACTTTTTTTTTTCCATCGCCCTTTCAGCGACAAAATGAAAACCTGGCACTTCCTTCAGCCGAGCAGCAGGCTCTGGAGAACGTGAAAGCTGGGCTGGATACCTGGGAATACACAGCTCGGAACACCCTCATGTATTATCCTACAGGTGAGGCACTGGTTCCAGGTGGGTTGGCTCCAAACAGTGCTTACAGCATTTCTGTACATGACTGAGCAGCTCTTACAGGTCATGCTGTGCTTTTTCTTCTGTAAATTTGTTTTTAAACAGTGAGGTTTTTTCCCTGTTTTTCTTGGCCTCTGATTCCAAAGTTTGGTCATGTTCTATTTGCCATTGAAAAGCTCATCTGTATTACAGAAGTACCTGTTTTCAGCAGCCAAAGCTCTTTCCTGGTCTGTCTTCTTTATGATCACTTGTTGTCATCTTCATTTGTTGTTTGCTTCTGCTCAAAGAATCCTCCTTGGACTTGTCAGTCTGTTTGTTCCTATAGAAAAATAGATATTTTTGTAAAAGTAGTTTTCTTTTTTGGCTGTAAATGTACAATTGATAACTTCTGTGAACCAGTGAAGTAAAGAACTCTTTTTTAAAAGTCACTTCGCTTTTCAAGGTGTACCCGATGAGAGTGAAGTTTTTAAGAAGCCCAGGGAAGTTGTGCATCGAAACACCCGTTTTGTGAAGGACCCTTTTAGCCAAGCTGTGAGCAAATCACAGCTCCAACAAGCTGCAGCCCTCAATGCTCAGGTTGGATAATTTTACTTCTGACTCAAATCGTGTGGTTCATCCCCCAGAACTGTGTGTGTGTGCTGGATGCAGCTGACTCTCACCTTTCTCCACATTGTCTTTCATTTCAGTACAAACAGGGCAAAGTGGGACCCGATGGGAAAGAACTGATACCCCAAGAGTCTCCAAAAGTGAATGGGTATGGATTTGTGGCTACCCCCTCTCCTGCCCCAGGTAAGAGGATTTTATTATTTCTTCTGCTTTAAGAGGACTATTACTGCACTTTCTTTGATGCTGTTTTCAACACTAGGGTGTCATTACAGGGTTAGATGAGGAGGTAAAACCTCGTGCTGCGTATGCCAGCAGGATGCAGGGCTTAAATCCTAGTCCAGTACACTGGTAGGAGAAGTCACCCTGCATCAAGAGACTGAAGTTGCTGTGCCATTGCTCAGGAATCATCTAGCTTTGGGCTAGTTTCAGTTGGAACAAACTGAATATTTTAATTCGAGTTGAAACATGGTATCTGAATTTGTAGCTGTTCTGCACCTGCCTCGTTGTTTCTCTGTGCTTTTTGTGGTTAAGTCAACGCCTGAACATGCTGGGGCTTTCCCTCTGGGAAACCTGTAG